CCAGGTACCACTTAGACCACTGACACTGGACAAACACAGAATGACATCCTCACCTAACCCATTTGTGCGAAAGACGCGTGGTCTTCCGCGTCGCGACTACAATGCCCTCAACAATGGCACGTCCTCCCTACTCCCTGAGCCATGGGAAGGGAATATCCTTGAAATGGAGAGCCCCTGCTCGCCAGCACCATCCGAGTCTACAGGAGCCGAAGGGACGTCACCATCCGTGCGGTCCTCACATATTCCCAGCTCTTCGCCCGCTCCGCTAGATCCCGAGTTATCGGGATTAGCTAGTAACCAGAGTAGCCCACCGCCTTGCAAGAGACGTAAAGTCAAGTCTTATTCTAGCTGGACCCTGGAGCATTTCTGGATCACAGAATTAGACAACACCTGGCGTCGAAGGGGCGGGCCACCGAAAAAAGATCGGCTCTTGGTCTGCAGGCAGTGTAGTTGGTCGTCCAGGGACTCGGCACGCTATGGCTCCACTTCGAATTTGTTAGCCCATCTCCAGACCAAACACCGCATCAGGTCTGGATCTGACATCACGTCATCGTCAAACATCGAAACGACCCTGGATCAGTTTTTGAGGCCGGCAAGTGAAAGGGCGGGCCTAGAACAAATGCTGATACAATGGGTCGTTCAGACGAGACAACCTTTTACGGTGGTGGAGCATCCGGCGTTCAGGGCACTTTTTGCAGCGACGGGGGCTACATTACCCATCAAGACGGCCGACACTCTCTTCAACAGAATCAAGGAAGATTTTCGGAAGAACAGGAATCGCGTGAAACAGGAGCTAGCCCGCAGTAGTCGCACACTTGCATTGTCCCTTGATGTTTGGACATCAGAGAATCAGATAGCGATCATGGGCATCATTGGCCATTGGATCTCACCCGAGTTTGAGAAGCGCGAAGAGCTTCTTGAGTTCACTGATATATGTGGACCGCACTCTGGGGAGAATCTTGCGGAAATCGTGATGAAAATGCTCGAGGAACTGGACGTCGCGCCAAAGCTCCTCACAATTACAGGGGATAATGCTGCCAACAACGGAACCCTATGCGACAGCCTTCATGCGGAGCTTCTCAAGAAATACGACGATAAAAACGACCAATTTCGCATCAGACCTCTTATGCGGTTCCGAGGACGGCAAAGCTTCATTCCCTGTCTTGCTCACGTCATTAATCTCATTTGCAGGGACGTGCTGGCTTCCCTGAGGGCCGGCTCAGCTCGAGAGGCAAAGATTATACTGGATGAAATGACCACGGAAAGCAGCCCAACATTCACTTCTGCTCACAGCACAAAAGGAGCAATTATGAAGATCCGGCTGCTAATTCTATGGATTGCCCGCAGCCCGCAGCGCCGCCAATCTTGGAAAGAACTGTCACCAGGCAAGCAAGTCGGCTACGATGTTGACACCCGATGGAACTCAACCTATATCATGATTGCAGACGCCCTTCGGCTACAGAAAGAACTCGGACAATTCGTTCGGATGCATCCAGAAGTTCACGCACTTCAGCTGACCGATAACGAATGGTCCATTCTTCAACAAGTAGCGAAAGTTCTTAAGCCATTTTGGGATCACACGAACTCGGTGTCAAAGTCATGTCCGACGATTGTTGAGAGTCTACCCATCTATTGGAGTCTAGATGACCTGCTTGACGACGTTCAAAAAGCAGAAGGTGATTTCGAAGATGTGGACACCGAGATACGAAATGCGGTGGGAAGGGGAATACACAAGATGAACAAATTTGCAAGGAAGATGGACACCAATCTTTTATACTACGTGGCCTCCGTCCTGGACCCGCGGATCAAATCATCTTTGATCGGAACGCAGATGAACGCGCAAGATGCGGGAATGATCATTTCTCAAGTGCGGGAGTTCTTGAAAAAGGAGTATCCGCACGAGCCGTCCATGTCATGTGTAATGGAGCGCCCGCCGGGTATGTCCGAGACTATGTGGAGGACGTTGCGAAAAGTACAGCCATCACAGCGGACGCTTCTTTCAGACATTGATAGATATCTAGATGCGCCGCCAGTGAGTTGGTCCCACCATATGATTGACGATGCAGACGAGGAATGGGTTCTCAAGTGGTGGAAGGCGAACGTATTTAGTTTCCCACTTATGGCAAAGGCAGCTCAGGATTACTTGCCAATTCCCTCAGCGGAGGTAGGGATTGAACGCGAATTCAGCAATGCCAGAGATGTATTGGGACTCAGGAGACACTGTCTAAATGCAGAGACGATGCGATGGCTTATGCTATTAAAGGGACAGTACCAAAAATAGTTATTAAGGCTAGGGATTGTGTCAATATTCAAATACAAGGGGGCTTAATATCTTAAAGTGATAAGTTGTGTGTAATGGAATTTAAGCC